ACTGGGTCCACCTCTCATAGACTGAAAACAAGAATGCCTAGCATTCCATGGAGACATCTCGTACTTTGAAGTGGTTCTGTAAATGCTTCCTGTGAGCTGGCTATAGTGGGGCATACCTACAATCCCAGCATTTTGGGAGGCTGAGGAGTATCAAAAGTTGGATCCCAGCTCTGGCAATTTAACGAGACCTTGTCTCAAAAAAGGAGGTTGGGGCTGGGGATATAGCTTAGTGGAAGGTCCTGTGTTAAATCTCCAGGATTAAAAAATTTAAAAAGCAGCTTTCTGTGGCAGTGTTCCTGTGGGAATAGGTAAGGTGTGCACCATGGCCAGTGCACTTCTGTGAGAAAGAGACTTTACTCTGCGAGGTCAGGCCTTTTTAGCATAGTTTGTGCTTTCTGCTTCTCTACTACTTTCTGTCACAAAGACTACTTTCTAACATTCCAATGAAGAAAATTTACAGTAGTTTTACTTTCAAATGAGATTATTTAGTTAAGTTGTATGAATATAGTACTTTACCTCTTTTGAAATCCAGCACGTTATCTGGGTAACAAATATAAGTGTGTGCCACCAGTGCATTCACATCACCTTACTGTGAGTTTTTTCCTTTTTTTGCTCCTAGTAGTGATTTCCAAACACATTAGATTCTTATTTATTGCTCACTACCAGAGTTAGGACTTTCCATTTGAATTTTATGCTAATTGTGACTAAATGATAATTGCAAAATAGAATTCAGAATATCATAAGTCTTGGATTTTGTTTAAGATGTTAATTATTAAACTGAAATCTTTTTGAAATTAAAACATAAAGCTTTAAAGGTTTAGAGTATTGTTTTGAGTTAAAGTAGTTGGAAAACTGTTAGGCAGTTTCTGATAAAGTTAAACATAAACGTATTCTGTGACCCAGCAATTACATGCTAAGTCATTGCCAAGAGAACTGAGTATGTAGCTACTAAAAGAGTGGTCATAGTGACTTTGTAATCTCCCCAAACTGGAAACAATTCAAATGTTCCATTAATAGGAGAATAAACAAATTATGGTATTTTTCACTCAGTGGTATAGTATTCATTGATAAAAAATGTTTGAAATACTAATATATGCAAATAGAATTATTAATTTAAAAAAGGAAGAAAGAAAACAGTAAATATTCAGTTATAAATAACAACTTAATAAATCAGGGATGACAGAGATTGGAATGAGTCCCTTGGGAGGTGGATATTGACTTTATGAAACTGAAGGAACTTTCTGGGTGAGGGAAATGTTACCTTGATCTGAATGTTGGTCATTTGACTGCCCATGTATTGTAAATTCACTCAGCTAAATGCTTAAGGTTCATATATTTTACTTGTCACTTAATAAAATATTCTAAATAAGAAAGGAGGGAGGGAGGGAGAGGTAGAGAGCCAGGCAAAAGAGAATCCCTTTATGCTGACATTCTTTTTCTTTGCCATAAATGTATGTAGTAAATGAGGGACTAGGACTAAATGGATTTACTATTCAACACATTACTCCCCGCCCCATTCTTCCTCTTCCTTTTCCTTGATTTCTTTTTCTTCCTCCTCCTCCCCTTTCTTCCCCTTCCCTTTGCAGTACTAGAGATCAAATCCAGGGTCTGAGATACATCCCCAGTTGTTTTTGTTATTTTTAAAAGAATTTTCAGACAGGGTCTTGCTAAGTTGCTGCAGTGCCCTGGATGGGCACTATCCTCTTGCCTCAGCCTCCCCCAGTGCTAGATTAGGCCTGTGCCACCACAGTCTGCTTCTTTTTCTCTTCTTGATTTAATTCCCGTTTTTACATTCTGTAGTGGTTTGACATTAATTCTTTAGAAATGAGACAAGCAGTCAGACAGTCTGAATCTTGACAGGTTGCATATAACCTAAATGCCAATTGTGCATTTAAGGTTCTATCATTTCATTGCTAGTCTTTTATGCCAGCCCTAATTTCTTTGCTGCAATAAGTAGACCTGTTTTGTAATGTAATGAATGCAGTCTTAAATGTATTGTCTGAAAAGCATAATTCAAATGAAATAATACAGAATTTAAATTCAATTTTACTTAATATCAAAGTTTTACATTCAAATTTTTTGATTTGTTAGAACATATTTACACATTTTACTAAATAACCTATTTTGATTCTTAAAATTCCCTGTTTACATTAATTATGGAATTTAAAAATTTTAACAAAAATAGAATAAGATAACAAATTCCACCTGTACCTGTCCCTAGCTTCCACAGTTACCCACTCATGGCAGCTCATTGTTTCTCATCTCTCTTTTTCTCTGGAGTATTTTGAAGCTGATCTCAGTTGTAAGAGGTATTACTTTACCCTAAATATTTTTAAAGATAAGGACTCTTTAAAAACTAACCATAGCATCTTATCAAGCAGATAAAACAGTAATTCCTTAACATTAAAAAACGTTCAGAGTTCAAGTTTGCCTTATTATCTCATTTTTTTTGTAGTTGGTTGATTTCAGTCAAGATCAAAATGAGGCTTATTTATTGCATTTGGTTTGTAATGTCTCTTTAGTCCCTTTTAAGATATTGAGTCCTTTCACATCTTTACATCTTTATTTTTATATCAGATTATTTGTTGAAGAAAACTGGCTATCCGTGGAATTTTCCACTTTCATGGTTTTGCATCCTTTTGGTGCTGTACAGCCTCTTTGTCAAACCCTGTTTAACACTATAGATTAATTTGGAGATAAATTTGTATAGATTCAGCTTTGAATTCTTTGACAAGACTGCTTTATAGATAGTTTTGTCTATTTCCTATTGCACTGCATTAGAAAACACTTGCTTTCTTGGTCTCTTATTATGTGATTTTAAGATTCTGTTATTGTTAACCTGGATCATCCATTATCAAGTTCCCCACCAACAGTTGGCCTAATGGTGAGAGCAGACTGCTCATTGCCTAAAAGATCTATTATTTTATCAGGAATTGCAAAATGGTGATGTTTTGGGGTTATTCTTTCTGGATTAATAAGGTAGAATTCTAGCTAATCAGTGAATTAATTTCCCTCATTAGCTGCATATTTTGAGTATAGTTTATTTAAGAGCTGTAAGATAAGTGCTTGGTTCTTTCCCTTTTATCACTGTAATGTATGTGTCTGGACTCAGCCTAAGAATATTATTTTTTCTTAGTGGAAATTGATAGTTATAAATGAAACTCTGGATGCTGGCTGTTGTCATTGCTTATGGATTGTTTCTAGGCCACTTAAGTGGACAGAACTAGGAAATACCTTATGCTTTTGTTTTGTTTTTTGTTTTAAAGAGAAAACACATGAAGTCATAATGATGTTTGCAATTAAAAATTTAAAACTATAGGGTTTTATTTAACATATTTTATATTTCAATTTCTTATGTTAAAAATATTGGTTTCTAACATAAACATAATTACCCTTATTCTTTAATCTGTTTAATATCTATTTACAGATATATAATAATTTCATATTACCAGAACCAGTATTAATAGCTTGATTACTGAAAATAGCTTATGATTTTTTGCAGGTGTCTTTTTCTTTGGGCCATATGAGTGGTTTTTTTTTTTTTTTTAATTGGTACTGAGGATTGGACTCAGGACCTTGCATTTGTGAGGCAGGAATGGCCCCACTGAGCTAAATCCCTGGCCCGTGTTTTACTATTTTTAAAAGTTATTTGAAATAATTACTTTTTTTGTAAGGCCACCAATTTGATTTACTACTAGTTTAATTACATTGTTTTGTTTTTTACAGATTTTTGATCTCATTTTGATTTAATTGTGTTTGAATTAAACAAAAGCATAATACTAGCAAAAAATCATGTTACTGGTAATATGATTACTGAAAATAGTTTAAGATTTCATTGTTTTGTTTTCTTTTTTTTTAGAGGATGTATCTTAGGAGGATTTTACAGTATGTAATTTGAAAAATAACTCCAGTTAAGTAATCAATTCAATTCACTTAGATCCAATTTCATTTTTTCCTTTAATTTTAAGGATTGCTTTCTCCTTATTTTTGATGGAATTTAAAAAGTAACTGAAAATTTTTCAGTTATCCAAAATAAAATCTATAAAATAATATACATTCAAAGAAAAACAGTTTCTACTCTTCCCCTCCTGTTTGTGTCTTTTCTCTTTAGTACCTAGTTTTTCTTTAGTTTTATCCTTTAAAAAAGTAAACAAATATGTACCATATTTGTATTTTCATTTTTTTAAATGAAGATAATAGAGTACACACTATTTGGTACCTTGTTCATTTTTAATAATATTGCTTGTCCTGTAACCTCCAAGGTATATTGTCAAATAAAAAAACTAAAAATATAAAAGCAAAAACCAGGTTTGTATTGTTCTTTTTAAAAAATAGTTTTTTTTAGGATTTTATGCTATGGATAGAACTGATATAGAACTGATACCATATTTATGGTTTTTTATTGTTTTTTGCTTTAATTGGTAGTGCTGCTTGTACATGTCATTTTGTGTTTCCTAGGAATAAAGAGACATTTTAGTTTCAGGCAATATCCATAGAGAGTATCACATATTTATTGTATCTTGTTTATTGCAGAAAAAGCTCAAAAAATAAACTATCAGAAAAGTCTAAAGATCCTTGATATCCCTGTAGTAACTGTTAATATTTAGTTGCTTGATTATGAAATAAAAATACTCATTGGTGATATTTATAATAATTAAATATATGTAAGCTTTTGGCCATAAGTAATGTTGAACTTCAGTGCTTTAAAATTCATACTCAAACACAGCAGTCTAATAATTTGTGTTTACTTTGTTTTAAATAATATGATTACAAGGTTGAATGTTTGGTCATTAATATACAGAAAATGTTGCAAAAATACCCAAAGAAATTTAATTAGATGCTATTTGTTTTTGCTTTGCTTATACTTCATTAGCAAATCATACAGATGGGCCAGCCACTCTCATCTTCTTCCATGGTAATTAAATATAATAGAAGTATAGCTTGTGTGATTTATTGTGTAAATATTTCACTTGTGTGCCTTTAATATTTTTTTTAAACAGGCAGTATAACTCCAACTGTGGAACTGAATGGGCTTGCTATGAAAAGGGGAGAGCCTGCCATCTACAGGCCATTAGATCCAAAGCCATTCCCAAATTATAGAGCTAATTACAACTTTCGGGGCATGTACAATCAGAGGTTTGTATGTCTTCTTTGGTTTGTTTTTATTCATTATTTGATACATATTGAAAAAATTTCTAAACTTCAGAGTATTTTCAATATAAATTCCATTAATTTGGGCATTTTGCATGGAATTTAGACAAATCAGGCTTGCAAGGGGAATTTGAAGTAATAGTTTTCAGGAACTAGTTTTTATTGTCATGAGAGGCCTGTTTTTGTTGTAGGCAGGACCAAATTTTAAAGTCAACCCAAAGTTTATAGTACCGATTTCCCAGTTGACTTTCTCATTCCTTCAGCCAGCACAGCTCAGTGGTTTTTTTGTTTTTCTTTAAAAATTTTTTTGTCTAAATACATTAATGAACTTGAGTGTTTGTAGTTTAAGGAAATTTACTGGAAGAAGAATTTACTAGGTCTCTTTGCGCATTGGCTGACTTTATGATAGTGCAGGTGTTACAGAATTTTAGAAGTGTAGTGAGAATTTCAAAGTAACAGTGCCCCCCCGCCCCACACCATAAATCATATAAAACTCATTGTTAAGAATATGAAAAATAGCTGGGCGTGGTGGCACATGCCTGTAATCCCAGCACTGGGGAGGCTGAGGCAGGAGTATCAGCACATTCAAGGCTAGCTTGGATGACATAGGCCAGTGTGAACTACATAGTGAGACTCTGTCTCAAAAAACAAAACAAAACCGAAACAAAACAAAAGAATAAAGAATATGGAAAATACAAAAGGTAAAGAAACATGAATAATTTATAATCCCAGAACTACCTACCTTTAATATTTTAAAGTACTTTACATTCTATTTTCCTTTGCATACAAATGTACTTGACCAAATTGAAGTGCTTTATGTGCAGTTTCCATAATCATTTAAGTTATAATATGCATACAGTGAAACACACAAACCTTCAGTGTACTACTTCTTGATGACTTATTTATCTCTTTGTGTATTTATACCTTATTTGATGACTTTTTACACATATGTATCCTGCTGTGTGTAAAATTCCCCTTGCCTGAGGGTTTTCTCAGACCTCCTTGCCTGTGACACGTCCTCCCCCAGAAGTAACCACTGATTAGTTTTGCCTGAACTTTGAACAAATAGACTCACAGAGTATTTACTATGTGTCTTTTTCACCTTGTATAATGATGTTCTTGTTTTGTTTGTTGTTTCTTTTGTTATTCATTTATGTTGCATATCTGGGTTTTGTCCCTTTTGTATGTATATACTATATCTTAATTTGTTGATCCTGTGTATGCAATATGATGTCCTCTTTTCACCTAATATCACCTAATATAATGTGCATTTTCTGTGTCTTTAATCCTTGAGTAGTGTTTTTGATAGCTCCAAAATGCTTCATGTGGTTAAGGTATATTTTATAATTATATATTTATTTATATCCTCCCCTTCCCCCCCTCACCTCTCCTTGTTAGGGATCAAACCCGGGGCCTTGTGCTAGCCAACCCCTGTACTATTGAACTATATTCTGCACCCAAATCTTTCGATTTTTTTTTTAAAGCCTCTTCATTGCTTTTGTCCAAGAAATTCTTTTCCACTGTGATCAGATATTTGGTGAAACTTTTGTTATGGTTTTGTATTATTTACTGACAGTGCAGCTGTTGTGCAGATAATATTTTGTCCATGGTAAATATTTTGTCTATATATAATTTAATACTTTTAATTACCTTTAATCATATCCATTTAAAGCATAGTCCTATTCAGATTATAAATAGTTCCTTTAAGTGTTATTGCTCAGGGTTTCTAAGAAAAATTGGATAATTCCTTAGACTTTTCCTCTCTCCCCCACCAGTGTACCTGGGGGAATTATGTGCTGCTCCCCTGACCCCCACACTGTGAGTGTCCTGTATTGTCCTTTAGTGCTTCTGTCCTTTGTGGTAATGTCCCCTTTCCATGGAGTGCTGGCTGAAACTTGCACTTAGTGACTTATACTTCATCTCTCTCTCCCCCAGGTGATGCTTGAAGTAGTATCTGCTATCTTCCCCTTGCTAATTTGGCCTAAACCTTTCGCTTTTTGGCCCTTTCTGGTATGCGACTTTCTATTCCCCTCCTCTTTAGTAGCGTATCACCTTCTAACTATGGAGCATCCTAACTTAGAGTGGTGTGCATATCATATAGGAGGGATGGGGGAATTAACGTTTTTCTTTTTTTGTTCTTTTTTTTGAGATAAGGTCTCACTAAGTTGCCAGGCTGGCCTTGAACTCTTGGTCATTCTCCCTCAGTCTCCCAAGTACTGGGATGGGATTACAGGCATGATTATATTTTTTTTTACAATAGTTCTCTCTCTCTCTCTCTCATTGTTTTTGTATATTTTTCCTTTAGTCTAAGGTTACCTAGTGTAAATAAAGCTAGTTGTCCACTTTAGCATAATAGATATGTTTAGTGTTCCTGAGTAAGGAACAGTTAGTGTATTTTATACAGTACTTGCATGATATTTTTAATGCACTATAATGAATAGATTCATGAGAGTATTATATTATGTTTTAACACTTGTTGTATTTTGATATCTGTGGTTCTTTATTGAAATTTTGCAGTGAATTTATTATTTTTATGTGAAAGAAATCTGGTGCTAAAGCAATGAGAAATCAGACAGTAATCCCAGTCCTGCCTGGCACTCATTTTCTAGTAGGGGAGGCAGTCTAGTCAGTAAGAGGTGATGGGGGCATTGGACAAAGACCTCTAAAGGAGTGTGAATGGTGGGAAGATGAGGGAGGTGGATATTCAGATGCAAAAAACAGCAACGCTTCTCCAAAGTCATAAATATAGGGTGGGTGGGCCATTCTCATTAATGGACAGAAGGAATTTTTCCCTTCAAACTTTTTGGATTCTTTGTGATATTTTGCAGATTACAAAAAAGGTAAAAGAAAAATGGGGAGTACTAGTAAGTTACCAAGTATGGATTTTTATTTTTGGTACCAGGGATCAAACTCTAGGACCTTGTGCTTGCAAGGCAGGCATGGTGCCACTGAGCTAAATCCCCAGCCCAAGTATGTTTTAACTTAAAAGTCTTCCCTGCTCACACAGAGGGCAGACCTAACCATTACTCAGCTGTTAAAATCATGATTTCACACATGACCTTAATTTGCCGAGGACAACATCTGAATGTATAACAGGGCACTTAGAGCCAAAGATCAGAGGAGACTTTTCAGACTCTAGATTAATCAGTAGCTTCTTGAGGCAGAGGAATGAAAGATAAGAAACATATTATTTAAGATTATTTTGAAAGGTACTTTCAGTTTCTACTTATTAAATATAGTTAGAGCTTACCAATGCTGTTTTTTCTTTGTTCTTGGCTGATGAGTTTTCTCTACTTAAAGTTTTCTCTACTCATTCAGAGACCTTAGAGAACTGATTTTTTTTTTTTTTTTTGCTGTCTTATGGTTGAGAACAAAAAAGATTTATCCATGGGCAAACTGAGGAGGCTATGACCTGGATTCTCAAATACCTGTCTCCTTTTGTTACACCCAAGATATTTGACAGCAACTGTATCCAATTACATCTCTTTTTTCTCATTTGAGGTACTGTTCAGCAACCTATAAAGTAGAAAACATTTAAAAATTCATATGACAACCACAAGGTAAAGATTAACCATTTTATTCTTGTGTTAGATTTCCCTTACTGTTATAATATATACTTGAGACGGTCAGTTTGAGAAGAGGAAAATTTTATTTTGGTTCATAGTTTTGGAGGTTTCAGTACATGGTTGGTCCTGTTGCTTTTGTGCCTATGGTGAGGCGAAATATCATAGATTGGTGGGAGCATGTGGTGGAGGAAGATGTGCAACTCATGGTGTCCAGGAGCAAAAAAGGGAAAGAGAAAGGGCCAGAGTCCTAAAGGGAGTATGCCCCCATATGATGAAAAGATTCCCACTCAACCCCACCTCCTGAAGGCACCATTATCACCCAGGAGCACCATGAGCCAGGGACTAAACTGGTAACACATGAGCCTTTGTTGGATACTTATCCAAACTGTAGCAATGCTTTTGTTCTGTCTTTCTTGCAAAATTATATAAATTTATAGAAAGGCTGGAATCAGGCCTCTATAGATAGTTTATCAGTTTTTTATATTCACAGATGAAGAAAGTATTATTGCTTGCAAATGGCCATTTCTGGCACCTTGATCTGCTGATACAGATTTTCAAAGGGCCACAGCTCAAAACTAGATTATGTGAAAATGGAAATTTTGGGTCCATATAACTGGTAAGTATCTTAGGGAGACATGGTTGGATATAGAGCTTTAATATAGTTCTTTTTCATTTCTTTCTCTTTAGCTCTTGTCTCATTTTTCCTGTGCTTGATTTTATTTTTCAAAGAAGTTTAAATCCTATTTGTTGTACCTTTTATGTTACATAGTCTGTAGACTAGATTTACAGTTAGTACTAGAAAATAGGCAAGTTGTTTGGTTTTGATAATTCTTAGAATATTGCCCAGCCAAGAATTTATTTTTCAAAATGAGTGTGGTGAGAGCATAGTTTAAGCTTGGGCTATACTCCCAGTCTGCAGAAAAATGGGTATTAGCTCCACCCAAACTGTTGTGCAACACCCACCCCCCTTAATTTGGAGTTGAATCCAGGGCCTTCACACTGAGCTACATACTCTGTCTTTTATTTTGTTTATTTTATTTATTTTTACTTTGAGGCAGGGTCTCCCTAAATTGCTAAGTTGCCCAGGATGGGCTTAATCTTTTATTTATTTATTTATTTATTTATTTATTGCTATACTGGTGATTGAATTCAGGACCTTGGGCTTGCAAGGCAGGTGTGGTGCCACTGAGCCAAATCCCCAGCCCTGACTGGAATTAATCTTGCAGTCCACCTGCCCCAGTCTCTCAGAGTGCTGGGATTGCAGGTATGTGCCACCAGGCCTGGGGAGCACAAGAGAATGATTCCCTGAGGCAAAAATTCTGAGGGAAAATATTTTCATCATAGTTTTGGAAAGATAAGGAATTTAATCTTGACTATGTTGAGTTTAAATTGCCAACGGAATATTTAGGAGCATTTATC